CTTTATCCCCACGTCCCCCTCCATTCCCCCGTATACGTTAATCCAATAGCCCATTTGCGAATTACCCTTGGCCTCATTTTCAAAACGAGTCCTCGTGCTCAACCATTCTTGTGAAAAGGAGTTTAATTTGCATGTAAATGAAAACTTATTATCAAGTCCTAACATCAATTTTTTTTGTTTGATTGTTTGTTGTGTTTGTGTTATCACGGGGCTTTTGTGAGGTAAAATATAAACAATATCAGAGCTGAATGGCTATAACTCTTAGCGCTTTTAGTTGGGGAGGAGGGTTGCGTGATGAGACTAAAAACGGCCGCGAGGGAGACTATATTTAGTTCTTATTAACCGAGCGGGAGGTCTGTATGGGAGAATCTTGACCGAGGTCGCCAGTACAGAACGAAGTCAAGTTTCTCCCATACAGACCGACCTAGCTCGGTTAATAAGATGTTTATTGTATAGCTGTGTCTTATATGCCAATTTTTTATATTCGTTGTACCTTTTTTTCAGGCCGGTCTAGATGGGAAAATCTAGACCGCTTTCAATATTGATTTCAGCCAATCAAATTCGTGAATTCGGTGGTTCCCAGTCCTTGTGAGACACAGCCATATAATAAATTAATATATGGCAGGTAACACAGGTGTTTTACGGCTCACGGCGCTGTTCCCGATGATTGTTGAGGTGAACATTATGTAAACCTATAATTATCAGTTTATATTTGCCATAAATTTACGAAAAAGAAACACTTTTCAATAACTCTTTTCTTCGGTCTTCGGATATAGCATAATCCCCGACTATTTACTGCTGTAAAACTACACGTTAGCAGCCCACAGTTTCCTGGCTGCAGTATGTTGAACGCCTCTCCTTGTTGATTATCTCCCATAGCTGTGAGAGAGGACCGCACTCCTGGTGGAAGGCATCGGCATCGTTCGCTGCAGGATCATCGCCCAAAAAAGCAACGGGGTCGAGAAGATGCAATAAATGGGTCGGCAGACGGAAATGATTGTGTGGAAGGTGCATTGAAGCAACATAAAAAAGAGGAGTCGACAGCCGGAAAAGAAGATTACATGGCTTTTATAGAAAAGATTCGAGATCAAGAGTTAACAATGCCTCATATTGCGGGACTTTTGGTTGAAAACAAAACTACGAAAGAAAAAGATGTCAACACATTTATGCAGCTGGCTTATCAAGAGCTCAACATGATCATTCAGTGGGCCAAAGATGTTCCTGGATTCAAGGACATTGAGTTGGAAGATCAAGTTTGCCTCATCAAAGCCTCGTTTATGGATTTGAACGTATTTCGTTTGGCCTACAGATCGGTGCCATGCGACCCTATGTCCCTACGGTTCAGTAAAGAATTGATTTACGACAGGCATGAGGTGATTGCGTTCGGTTGGACTGAAGACCTGGTTGATACAACTCTGGAATTTACTGACAAGTTGCGCAGTTTGAATCTCGATCAAAACGAGTTTGCTTGTTTGTCTGCCTTAGCTTTACTCAGCCCAGGTTTGTGGCACTGAGTGAGATTCGATTTGATTTTTTCTTTCCTTAGTGAAGTAGAACACAGAAACCACTTAAAAAAAATACATATAAGTAAAATATTCGAACCATGGAGTGAAAAGAAAGATCATGATAGGATCAGCGCTGTATGATCTCAATTACACCAACATAGCTCTTCAAACCTGCATGATCATTTTCAGCCTTCGAATCATCTTTTTGTTCAATCTGTCATTCAATTATAAGTTAATTTATCGGTATATATATTTTCTCGGTATATTTTTAACCTAAAAGGGTGCATGCGCTTTTGTGACTGGTTTGTTTTGTTTCCATAGATACGCCTGAACTCAAAGATAAGGAGAAAGTGACTCGCCTTCAAGACAAAGTAAACAGCTACTTGCGTGACTATTCCGAAGCCCTCTATCCACAGAAAGCAAATCGTCTTGGAAAACTGCTCCTCTGTCTTCCAACTCTTCGCATATATAGCGAGAAAGCAATGGAAAATTACGTCACGCTGGAGTTCTTTGGTAAGCTGGATATGCCCCCTTTGGTGGCTGAGCTGTTGGAGTAGGACTGGTAACAAGTTGGATGACTTTTGGTCGCGCAGCAGAGTACAGAAAGGACTGGTAACGAGTGTAATGACAAGAAACTTTGTTTGGCTTTTAGACAAGCTTAGCTGTAAGCTTGGTATTTCTTTAACTCGATGTAATTACTGATCTTCAGGTCCATGTTCATCGGCGGAAAACGCAAAGGCGCACTATCACAGTAATAATAATCCAATTTTTCAAGGTACAAGACACAAAATATCAGAGAGTGAACGACTTACCACATCAATGAACTATGTCACTTACAGAAAATTAAAAAGACGAGATGACCGGTTTTATTTTGGAAACCCAAAGTACTGGATAATGCGCCCTTGATATATTACCGTCATTTTGGCCGCGAATTATCTTACTATCCTTGAAATTATTCTTATTGGTTTTTATCTGACTATTTTTGTTTGTTTGGATGCTTTTATGGCCGACAACATGTCAAAAATCTCGAATTCATTCCTTCAGAGAAAGTAAGTCGTCATCAATAATGCACGGTTAAATTTGCGTGCTCAGTGGAATTTAAAATTACCTGATAATCAGATATTTTATTTTTGATTTGATTTTTCTCTTTCCGTAATCCGATAGTTTTACTTTTCTTGATCACTTTAACAAGTAGGAGCCGATGTGTAGAAGTCGTTTGTAGAGATCGTTCAGGAAATTATTTTTTTCATCAGCACCATGCAACTGTACTTTTAAACTTAAAATCCGTTTTTCAGTTTGAAACAATCGAAGAGCCCTCAGTTCTACCTTTGATTGGCTTTATTTTAGGACGGTGATCAACAGTTGTGTTGCAGAACTTAGCAAGGTATGTAAACTGATATCTTACAACGCGATTCTCGGAATACTGAAATACGACATGGCTTCCATCATAGTACGTGGATGTAATCTAATTCGGCAGGTGGAAGGAAAAAAGAGGCGCAGTAACCCTTAAGTCACGTAAAAAGTTCCTGAAGAGTTTTATTAATATTAACGTTAATCATAGGAAAATAGTGTATAGAACCTAAACACCAG